GGGGCAGCACCGGACCCTCCCTTTTCCAGAGGCCTTAGGGCAGCCTGGCTCCTCATAACCTCAGTGATTCCCACCCTCTCCTCACAGGACACGTACTTATTTGTGGTATTTCCTTACATTTTTAAAGGCTTAGTAAGTCTCCAACAAGGGTAGCCATTCCGAGTTGACCGTTCTGTACACCAGAATCTTTTCTTCGTTGATGGTTTAATCTGTGATTTCACACACCTAGTGTTTATTATAACTTGGGAAATCTCAAGAGGGAAATAAAAACCTAGCAATTATTGAACACTACGATATGTCAAGCTTGAAACTAGGTCCTCTTCAGACACTCTGTACGATCTAGAGGGGCAAGTAGGCTTCTAGTAACAATAGTGTTACAAGACAATAGGATAATATAACAGCAGAATTTTTAATGTCCCTAATTTGATGTTAAGTGACAGAGGCTCAGAGAAGTTAAATCATAGGAAAACAAAGATTCCCTTTAAATAGAATTCCAGATTCCATGCTGTATCGATTATATCATACAGCTTTGCCATAAAAACAATGAAAAGATTTGTGGAGAGTGACTGAAGGCACAGTGAGGAATGCCTGAAACTGATTTCAGTGCTGTAATTCCTGTGATGGGAGAATTTATGCTTGATGTACTTAAAACTCTAATGGGGGAGATGTGGTTAAGTGCTGGGAGGTCTTGAATGAAAGTTCCTAATCTGTACACATTTACATACACACAGTATATACTCGGTATTATGTTCACCAAAACACAGGATTAAATGCAATACACTTAATTTTTGGAAACCTGATAATTTTAGTTTTCTTAAAACAACAGCGGGTCCTTTTGTAATTAATTTTGATTTACTCTCTCTTACCTGCTAAAAAATATACAGGCTCTCTCCTCTGCAATCTGAACAAGACACTTAAAACTTTGTTTTGTTGCAGAATATAGGCAAATAAAGAATTTATGTTGCTTGCATTTATGGTTTTTATGATTTGGAATCATCATTTCAGACTCTCAGCTTCGTTTTCTGGTTATAATGCACATAGCAACCTAGATGACTAATATATAAACAATTTGAGTGATGCTTATTTAAATCATTTAGGACAGCTCAGGAGGTTGCTGAGACCTGGGACCATCTGTTTATTGCTCTATGTGTTTCTTCAAGGCTTAGTGTGTGCTCACACCTTCACATGTCTTAGCCTCTACCTTCCTGATATATACCCAGAAGAGGCATCTTAGACTCAATTTAACTCCTTATTTCTATTGAGGTTCTGTTTTAAAACCTTAATCCCCACCTGCCTTCTGTTTTACCATTTTACCTATTTTATTTTAGTTTTTTTCCTGTTACTACTATCCTCAACAGTCACTTTGCAGATGAATGACTGGGAACACGGGTTGGTAGTCAGGTTGGAATCTTAATTGGCTGTGTACGTAGCTGTTTGACCTGGGCCAGGCTCTTTCACCTTGACTTCCTCATCTGTGAAATGGAATATAATATCCACCTCATATATTTGTGAGAATGATTAAATGAGATAAAATATAATTCATTACATATAATTCTGTCTGGTTACTATTATTAACATGCTTTAGAAAGAGGAGTCTCACAATGACAAAAAGACATTCAAAAGTAAATTTCGGTTACCATATACTTGAATTTCAGACAATAGTCTTTTGGAAGGAATATCTATTTTTCCTTAAGCTGACTGTTTATGTGAAAGCACACACTACAACAAAATGTATGAAACCCTCATGGGGTCTAGTGTGAGGGTTCCAGCCCTCTTTCACGGGATCTATGGCGAAACTTTGGACTATGAGTAGCTGGAGAAGAGTTTTCTCTTGGCACCTGTCTGGGTTCTCTTCTGAAGTCCCTGGTTACATATTAGACTGTATGCTTTGGAACCTCACCTTCACATCTGTAATGGTTCCCTGTGGACTGAGCTGGTCCATATATACGCTCTCTGAGGAGAGAGACCAGAAAATGGTCTCTTCCACGTTAGCCCCTGTGCCGGCCATGACCTGTAACCCTCACAACCCTGTGGGTGAGGTCGTTATTTCTTCCTAATTTTATGTGGATTACTATTTCTGAATTAAAGATCATCAGAGTCTTTAAAGTATGAGTATGTTTATGCAGTCAGTGGAAAAGAAGAATACAATTAATCTGGATGGTCTTGGAAATTCAGGGTACACGTTTACTGTAGTTCTAGTATTATAATACGGTATAAAATAGAGATACATACTTCCCAGAGGGTTAATCTGGTATATTGATCTACAAATCTGCCATTGAGATTCAAATATTTTTTGTAAGTGTGTGTGTGTGTGTGTGTGTGTACAGCTTCTGCATGAAAAAAAACAGGTTGAACAAGGATGCCTGTTTTGATGGTTGCCCAGAGAAACATATAGCCACACACAAATCATTTGTGTATGAAACAGTCCATTAGGAACTCACTCTGTGCAGCTGCTTGACCCAAGCATTTTTTTTTCCGGTCTTTTTAAAACGCGTTTTAACACAAGTTTGTGGAGGGAATAATGCCAGTCTCTCTAATAATATTTCAGTTAGCAAAGCATTAAAATGTCAAACTGTTTCAATTGGTCAGGGCATATCCTTATAAAATTGAATCATAGTCCTCTGTTATGTATCTGTTATCTTCCATGATTTTTTTAATTTAAATAGCCAATTTAGCCAATTAGCCAACATTTAGTACATCTTTAGTTTCTTCCATGACTTTTAAAATATGCTTTATATATTTATATGTAATGATTTAAAATCCTTTCACTCCACTTAATGTGGAATAATTGTTTCCAAATTAAGGAAACACTACATACAAAGTTACGAAACTAATGTAAAATAGTAACCATTATTCACACAAGAAAGTATTCTTTACTCTTTTATGTCAGTGTCATTTAATTACAAATGTAAATTACATTTAATTACAAATAGTTTCATAAAAACTATTACAATACATGTTAAGTATGAACCAGAGCCCTTCTCACCTTTTTGCCACTCCTGGCCTCAGAAGGTGACCACTAGTAATAGTTCAAGTCTGACCTTTCAGACCTTTTTCTATGCTCATGCAAACGCACAGGTGTATCTTGCAAAGAGTGAACACACACACACACACACACACACACACACACACACAGGAATACTACTCAGCCATAAAAGGAATGTTGCCACTTGCAACAATGTGGATGGAGCTAGCGAGTTTTATGCTAGGTGAAATAGAGAAAAGAAGAAACCATAGGATTTCACACCTATGTAGAAATTAAGAAACCAAACAAGTGAGCAAAGAGACCCCCCCAAAAAAATAAATAAATAAAAAAAAGAGCGAGAGAGCGAGAGCGAGAGAGAGAGAGAGAGAGAGAGAGGCAAACTGAGGAACAGATTCTTAACTATAGAGAACACACTGATTGTTACCAGGGCAGGTGGGAAGGGGGTGGGTGAAATAGGTGAAGTTGATTAAGGAGACACTTGCTGTGATGAGCTTGGTGTGATGTACGGGTGTTGATTCACTGTATTGTACACCTGAAATGCATATTACACCATAACTGCAATTGAAATAAAAACTTAAACAAAATAAAGAATGGTATTAAGAAGCCAATTAAAATAAAATAAAATACAGTTAAGTAAAATATATAAGGAAAGGTGGACCTCAAATCCTTTGTAAAGCAAAGTAATGCAGGAAGTAGATGCCTATAAAACTTTAAGTTGTGTGAGGTTTTTTGGTTTTTGGTTTTTGTCTTTAGTATAGCTGACACACAATATTACTGGTGTACGACTTGGGATTTGACAAGTTATATATTGTGCTATTTCTTTGTAGGCGTACCTACTGTCTGTCCCTTTACATCGCTGTTACAATATCATTGACTGGATTCCCTGTGCTTTGCTTTTTCTTCCCATGACTTAACTCATTCTATAACTGGAGTCTTGTATCTCCCTCTCCCTGACACCAATTTCGCCCAACCCCATACTCTCCTCCCCTCTGGCAACTATTAGCAAAAACCTAAGATTTTATTTGCAGTAATAGCTGTGAGGGGTAACGTTAATATCATTTTCATAGGAACAGTTTAGTCACATAGCTGTCTTTAGATTTTTTGGAACTCTCTAAAAATTATTTTCAAGTTTGAATTTGTCACCTAATGTTTTTTTTTTCCTCTGAAGATAATTTCCTGTAGGATTCCTCAAGTGTGGTTGGGATTTTATATTTTTGAACCAGACCTCTAGCCTCATGGAGTTCATTGTCTCTCAGGAGAGACAGATAATTGAGCAACTACAGTGGATCTTACTCAGTTCAGTACTGTGAGAGCTCGGGGCAGAAACCCCTCTGTCAGTGGTGCGGGGTTGGGCAAGTGCCACCAGGGAAGGCTTCCTGGCAGAGGCAAATCCTAACATGGTATCTGAGAGATGTGCACACAGCAGTCAGGCAAAGAGCAATGGGCTTGGGCTGGGAATTGGCCAGGGAACCATCAGCATCTACAAAAGCCTGGCCATGAGAGAATCCAGAACATGGTTAAGTAACTGCTAGAAGTTCAGTCTGACTGTAGGGCAATTAGAAACATTTATTATGATAATAATACATGTCCATTATATATAAAATTTGAAAAGCACAGGAAACAAGAGAAAACATATGCCACCACTAATTTCAAGCTGCAGAATTTCCTGTGAGCATTTTCTTACAATTTTGTCATGCCCTATATTTGAATTTATAGGACAACACATTTGGTATATTCCCAGAGAGGATTAAACCAGAGCTATGCATGGAGACATAAATGCATGTATGTATGAAGACATTTTAAATAAAACTGGGATCATGCCAAACTTGGTATGTCACTTAATTTTTTAACCTTTTTTTTTTAACGTTATGATATACTGATTTATTTTAATGCCCCTGGATAGAATTACATTTCTTTTTTCTCTTTCTAGGATTACATTTCAAGTGGAAATGTTTCATCTCTCTGAATAGAAAGAAATATTCTTGAAGTGAACTATCTGTATTCTTCTCTGTAGGAAGAATGTTTCCTGAACCTAGAAGCTCCTATATCAAGAGTATGTGGGTATGACACACCGTTTCCTCACATCTTCGAGCCATTCTACATCCCAGACAAATGGAAGTGTTATGATGCACTTCGAAAAATGATCAACTATTGACTGTATTGGTAAGTCAGCCTTGCATTTTGACAAAGCTAGTGTATGTCACTCATATGACTGTGCCATTAACCAAGAGCTGCAGTCATCAGCGTGTTGGCAATTTCCAGAACAAAAGTGGATTGAAGAAAAAAAAATGGAAATTTATAGTGGTATATTTACACTTGATAGAAACGCATCAGATATATATTTATCTGATATCCATAAAACAGATGTGTACATATATTAATGTGGAGTAATCAATGAAGACGAAGATACTCTGTGCTGTGGTTTGCTTGCAAATATACCTTACTCCACTCTTCCAACTTTAGCCTCATTTCTGTATATTGTTATTGGCCATTTAAATTATTCATGAATAGGGTTAATTTCTGTTACTGAAAAATGTTCCTTTGAGCAACATTGTTTGGGACTCCAGTGAATTTAAGCTATATGATGATCCATAACATGAAATTTGCCTTTATATTATCTGAAAATAGGTTTGTTGAGCAGAAAACCTATTTATCATGTATAGGGAAGTTTTTACATAAAAGAAAATCCAGCACCACCACCATTTCCAGAATCTTTTTTGACAAATGAATGTTTTTAAATTGTGGATAATGACATTTAGTTGTTATGATTTTCTATCTTATCTGCCTCTTCAGCAGTGATTTTCTAGCAAAAATGAATATCATTAAAAACTGTTTAGTTTTCAGGTTTTAATATAGAAAGGAGTTGCTATCACTGACACACTGCCTTATTTTATCTTGGCATTTTGAAACGTATAGCTGGAATTAAATTTTACATTTAATATTCTAGTATTAACGTGTGATATTTACATTTTAATATCTAGATTGTCTAAAAAATAGAAATAATAATACATTTTTAAGAACTGTCATCTTTTTAAAAAAAGGGGAGACCAGGCTCTGTGTAATAACATAAGCCCACACTTCTTAAAGATAGAATTACTGTAATTCTTGAATTCCGTGTCTGAGGAGTAAACCTGGGCCATTGAAAACCAGAGAGATACCTTTTAAATTTGTACAGATAGAGAAAATAGTGCCCTCCCATCTGCCACTATGACACCCCCCCTTTCCATTTTTTGCAGTTCTATTTTGAGAATGTACCAGATATAAGTTCAAGCCATTAGTCAACACATCCTCGGTATTCTTCCAGATACACTGAGGGAGATGCTATGTATCTGGTGTCCTCTTAATGTCTGTGAAAGCAACTGGTTTCTACAGTAAGTCACACTTAGGACTGGTTAGAGGAATACCATCTCTTTTGTCCATCTTCTTCCTTCCATGGACTCTCCCTAATGGAGAGTCAAGGTAATCATTATCACAATGTGTGGCCACAGAGTTTAGGTGCTGGTTTAAATTTGGATATATGATTCTTTTTAAACATAAAAAATATGTAAACCTATTGAAAATATGATAAAAGAAGAATAGTTTTTCTATGCTTCAAGCTAAATATGGCATTAAGGAAAAGAGTTATGCAGTTGAGAAATCTATATTTAATTCATGGTGGTCGGAATGTCTATAATCGTTATTGATTTCTTTTACAGAACAACTGGAAGATTGTGACTAGATATGGAAATATTTTTCTGAAAATCCTTCTTATTTCCTCAGACTTCTCTCTTCTTGAAAATAGAGTTTTTATGAACTGAACCACATTGGATAATGGCTGAAAATTTTTAATTAGTTATTGTATTAACACATATGAATTGATGATTTCCATTAAGAGTATCTCAGATTAACTTTTTAAAATGCTTCACTTGTAGTCTTATAAATTCCATCAAATTACATCTGTAAATACTGGGCATGGGGTAGTATTCAATAAAGCAAAATCAGATTCTGTCTTTTTTTGTGTGTGTCTTTTTTTCATTAGCTAAAAGAATCTTATCAGAATAATAGATTAACTTGTTAATTAAATCTGAAAGTGAAATGCTTAGAAATGCTGATTTTCAGTTATGTTATATTTAGTATAATTCTTTATGGCTAAGATGGTTATATGTTGATGAAACTTCTGGAATATTTTACCTGGTTCTTCCCTCTTACCTCAACAAGATGCACTGATGGGGGCACCTGGGTGACAGGTGGTTAAGCCTCTGCCTTCAGCTCAGGTCATGATCCAAGGGTCCTGGGATTGAGCCCCACATCAGGCTCCCTACTCAGTGGGATCCTGCTTCTCCCTCTACTCCCAGCTCTCCCTTGCAATCACTGTCTCTCTCTCTCTCTCAAATAAATAAATAAAATATTAAAAAAAGAAAAAAAAAAGATGGGCACCTGGGTGGCTCAGTGAGTTAAAGCCTCTGCCTTTCGGCTCAGGTTATGATCCCAGGACCCTGGGATTGAGCCCCGCATCAGGCTCTCTGCTCAGCAGGGAGCCTGCTTCCCCCTCTCTCTCTGCCTGCCTCTCTGCCTACTTGTGGTCTCTCTCTCTGTATGTCAAATAAATAAATAAAATCTTAAAAAAAAAAAAAAAAGATGCACTGATGGACATACTCACTTTTTTCCAAAGCATGGTGGGGCAGGATCATCCTTGCTGCCTCTCTTCCTAATTTTGGGAGATGGACAGCATGAACCTGTCTTTTCTTATAAAATTGCCAAGTTTTTCTACAGCTGGTTTTTTTTTTTTTTTTTTTTTTGCCATGATGTTGCAAAGCAAGTATCTTTTTCCATGTCCTTTCTATTACTTGTAGATGAAAAGAGAAACAAGATTAGAAGCATCAAAAGGCCCTGAGAAGACGGCTGGGTGGCTCAGTCGGTTAAGTGTCTGCCTTCTGTCATGATCCTGGGGTCCTGGGATTGAGTCCCGTGTCAGGCTCCCTGCTCAGTGGGGAGTCTGCTTCTCCCACTGCCCCTCCTCACACACTTTTTTCTCTCAAATAAATATAATTTATTTCTCTCTCTCTCTCTCAAATAAATATATAAAATCTTAAAAAAGAAAAAAAGCCCTGGCCAGAGGAAGCCTCTGTGTTGGGGATATTGCCAGGGCCCCCATTTCTTTTTTCTTTTTTTTTTTTTAAATATATTATTATTATTACTTTTTAAGATTTTATTTATTCATTTGACAGAGAGAGAGAGAGATCACAAGTAGGCAGAGAGGCAGGCAGAGAGAGGAGGAAGCAGGCTCACTGCTGAGCAGAGAGCCCGATGCGGGGCTCGATCCCAGGACCCTGAGATCATGACCTGAGCCGAAGGCACAGGCTTAACCCACTGAGCCACCCAGGTGCCCCAGGGCCCCCATTTCTTAATCTGCCTCTTCTGCCCTTCATTTTGAGTTTGAGACTGGCCTGAACAGCCTCAGAAATCTCTTCGCAGGACACCTCATCTCTGGGTTCCTGTCCCTTGCAGGTGGTACTAGCCAGTCTGCCCACCCCTTCTGTAGATTACTTCAGAAGAGTTTGTTCTCACGTTTCAGCAGAAAGATCCACCTCCCTAAAAAATCAGAGAAACAGAGTCATAGACTGTTTTCCTTTCTCTTTAAAGACCAAATGGATATTTTCTTATGATTACAACTGTTTATTTTACTTTAAAACTACAACTTAAAAAAAGCTGTGTTCTGTTTATTTTGATCGGCTATTTGGAGGATACAGAAATCTACAGTAATATTTGTAGATTGCCAGAAGCTTAGAGGTAAAGTAAATGCACTTTATCACAGATTTTTATAACAATGGGCTGGAAAAAAAGAACCAGTGCACTTGTTTGGGTAAAAATAAAGCCTTGTCCTTGATTTAAAAATAGAAACACCTGTATGTTATAGAATTGGGAAAAGATGTAGTTGTCAGCAGCAAGTCTGGATAACATTTAGGGAATCCTGTTGACTTATGATACAGGACATTTGGAGTTTAAAATGCCCAAACACGGTATTACCTTTGGCTTTTTTCACTATCCACAGATGTCATGCGGCATCCTTGCAGGAAACTCTTCACTTACGTGGTCAGTCTAGCAGAGTAGGAAATAGACAGTATTCAACTACCACAGAGCCTTAATGGGTTCTTTTGAACATAATTGTTTTAGCTGAAGTCATTTTTTTAGTTGATATTATTTATACTTTTAGTTACTTATTTTAAGTTAATTCCAGAGATCTTTTTAATACTTTTAACACTTTTTAATACTATTTTTTTCTACTCATCTGTTCTTGTAAGAATTTTCCCTTAGCTCTTTTTTTTTTTTTTTCTGTTCCTCAGTTTTGAAATAGCAAGCGTGAGGACAACTGTGGGGATTGTCTATGCTCTCAGGGCCTGACCTGGAAGGTGTTTCCCCCTTCCAGTTAGCCCTGCAGGCCCCACCAGTAAGCACCCTTTTCCCTTCGAAAATAAATGACTTACAATTAATATTAAACTCAGTCTGTGGCACAGGATGTACATGTACATCTAAATAATTGTCTTAAGTACATTTTCATTACATGAAGCAAATGTTCCATATTGTGTAAATAAGAACATTGAAATGAGGACACACTTAGGGGTGTGAAGTGAATTTGGAGAAGTTCCTAGTCCCCAGGACTCCCAGCCTAGCACAGGAAGTCTGCTTCCTGGGACAACATAGATATATAAGTGAAGGTAATCTTATACACTTCAAATTTCCAATTCCTTTCAGAAAGAAACAAACCATGATCTAACATCCTTGTTCTATATAACTGATAGATATCATCCACATCATATGAACAGACCTAGATACATGAGAAAAAAGGTGACACAAGATGGAGAAAATGACCTCAATTTAGTCCCTTAGGTTTAAGTCACATAATTAGAAACTCTGAATAAGAATCCTGAGAAGATGTCCCCCAGAGGATCTATGTTTGGTTTAGTGAAATCCTTTTTCCCATCAGCTTGCCTGTGGTGGACAAGTGTGGTTTCCAGGGGCCTGGCATCCCCACCTTCTATAAGAGCACTGATGTTTGAGAACATTTGTTGACAGCTCCCTCCTCACTACCTCGGCTCTGGAGAGGCTGCCATCCCCCGTGCTGTTCAGCACTAGCCACAGAGATGGCTCTGGCCCAGCCTGGTCAGATGCCTCAGAATGGAACGTCAGGTTACTCATGCAGAAACAAAACTTGGCCTCCACCTTGTCAGTGACACTCAGCAATCAAAGACTGGTTCTCAATCTTTTACCTCTTTGAGGTGTACCTGATAGGTATTAATCAGCTAGCACAGTGCTGAATTTAGCAGACACGCTTGGGTGAGGGGTGAGAAGCATGACCCTAAAGCCATCCTGTCAGAATTTCCAGAGAGACGTGAGGTTTGGAGACTCTGACACACCCCCGTAGGCCATCTAGTTTGGAAAGAAGTAGAAAATATTCATACATGGGCAAAGATTTAGAAACCCTGATACCTGATACCTCCCCGAACATCATAATTAAAGATATTTGCCAGGAAAATGAGAAATAAAATAAGTCAAGAATGAGGAAATCATAGCTGGAATGGACTGGAAGTGCAAATGGAAACAAGTTAAATAAAAAGATATATATCTAAAATAATTGTCTTAACTACACTTTTTATGTGAAACAAATGTTCCGTATTGTAAAAATAAGAAAGTGGTGGTGATAATAAATATGACTTACATTGACAAAGATTAGAGTAGTAGATTTGCCAAGAGGAATTCAAAAGTGCCAAATTCTTCATTTTCAGTAAAGAGGAGCATAACTTTATTATCCCACTGTTAATCTTGAAAGTTTAATATTGTTTTTTAAATGCTTCAAAAATAAAATTAATCACTATGTATGTATCTTTCATATCATTATATAAACCAGCTATACTATACTTATTAATTCATTCCACAAACATTTAGTGAATACTTATGGGCCAGGCACTGGATTAGATCCTAATATGCAAAGTTAACTAAGAAACATTCCCTCCCTGCAAAGAAAATGGGGAAAAAAAATGTTTAAAGAGCAATAGAAAAGAAAAGTAGGAAGAAGCAAGACCAAACAAAACAATTATGACAATAAATACAATGGGATAAATTCCTTAGTCTAAAAGAAAGAACATAGAGAGGGTTGAGAAACAGAATCCTAGTTCTTTACTAGGAAGGGTCCTGTTATAAGTTATCCCAGAAAGGTTAAAATTTGAAAATGAACAAACAAAATTAGGCAAAAATAAATATGAAAACAACACAAATGGCAGAATTTGTTTCAGACGAAAGACAAGAGAAAAAGTATGCAGTCAGTAGTAACAAAAGGAATATATTACATGGAAGATATAACAGTTAAATTATTTGTTCTAAGTGCATGATATTAAAATGTAAGCAAAACTCTGTAAATACAGAGGATGTAGATAGAAGAGTCGTAGATAACAACTTTGTCACCTCACTGTCAGTTTGATAGGTGAAGTAGGTAAGAATAAGTAATAGGGTTGCGTCAACAGAAATATACTTTAAACTTTGTCCCATAAACAGAGACTATATCACCTTTTAAAGCATATATAGCAGTTAAAAGAGTTGAGCATAGATAAGGTACAAAGAAAAACAGTAAATTCCTCGAAAAAAGAGTATTAAAGGGCACCATGTTTTTTTTTTTTTTTTTTTACCACATCCCAAATTAATAACAAATATTTCCAACTACTTAGAATGAGAACATAAATGCATCCAGCTGTGGAACCCAGGAGGAAATGTAAAATAATTCCAAAATATTTAGAACTTAAGATCACTGATGTGCTTCAGCCAAGATCTTACTCAGAGGTAAATTCATAGGTTTTAACTCTTTCATGAAAAAAGGCAGAAAGTTCCAAATTATTAAAACAAAACAAAACAAAACTGTAAGATTGAAATACTTTTGTATAAGAATGGAAGTTTTTCTTTCATTTTACAATGTCTGTATCCCGTGAGGGTGGATTACATTACCAATGTTTTTATG